CAGAGGTAAACAGTGAAAATATAATTTATAGAAATAAAAAGTAATATAAAGTATGAAACATTGCAGGGCCACACTGTATTATTTATTTTAAAAAAAAATCTAAATGTAGGGGCAGTAATTGCAAACAATGTAAATCACAATGTCTTGAATTATTTCACAGCATGTCTGAACAAAACACGTATAATCAGGAGACATTCTACTGCTGCACCGTCTCTCTGCACAAACACACGTACACACACACACACCAAAAAAAAAAAAAAAAAAAGGTCTCGCAGCACACGCTGGGGCCTGAACCGGAACAACATCATGACAACAACGCAACATGCCATTGGAGTACGTGCTGTGGAAAGCGCAGTTCCCGTTTGGGTTGGTCGACAGAAACTGTTCGAGAAGAAGAAGAAGACATGCCATTGGCTGTTGGGACACTGAACATCCGTCTTTGTCGTGACGCTGAACAAGATCAACAACTTTCCCGTTTGAGTTGGTCGACAGAAACTTCGAGAGTACAGCAGCTCATGTCGAGGCTGGAGGAAGGACGAAGCTACAAGGCAAGTATCGAACTCAAGCTGAGTAGCATTAGCTTTATTTACCACCATGGCTCTGAGTTTACTCAGTCGGCAAAAGGCACCGAATCCGCGAATCCGCTAGCATGTCGTCAATTGAAATGTTAGCTAACTATGATGACAAAAGCATGGCCGGCGGCGTCGGTGTCTTCACGTGGCGTCTGCCAGTGTAAGCTGCATTTAGTATTCAGCCAGACCAGCCACTATCTTACCACTTAACAGTGAGTCATTACGTTTGCTTTTGTGAACTAACTGACACACGCGGAGAGAAAGATTAACATTTGTTTAGAGCTGCAACAATTAATCGATTAATCGAACAATGATCGATTATTAACCCTCTTGTACCCTTAGGGACATTTTTGTCCTTTGAGAGAAATTTTCACTCGTTTTTTGGCCATAACTTTCACTGTACAACTTGAAATGGCATGATTTTTGGCTAGGAAGCTTAATTTTATGTAACTTGTCAAATTTGGTTTTGAAATTTTTCTAAGGTCAATAATACACTGTGGGCAAAAAATGCATACACTTATACTCTTAGGGACATTTTTGTCCCCTCAAAACAAAACAACAAAACTGATTTTGATGCATTATTCATTTATTTTTTTTGTAGTTTCAGGTTTTCAATTTTACTCCGTATATTTCTAGTTTTTTTAATGGGCTTTTATATAGAAGGGCTATGATATAGTTATGGCTTTGATCAGCACTGTGTGCGTGTGTGTGCGCTCGCTCGCGCGTGTCCACGACCACACACAGGCATGCACACACAGTACCAGAGGGTTAAATTAATCGTCAACTATTTTGATAAATGAATAATCGGTTTAACAACTAATAGATTAATCGTTTAAATAATCGACAGATTAATCGATAATGAAAATAATCGTTACCTGCAGCCTGATGTCAAACCTGCTGCAGCCATGTTCAAGGACCCTATGCTGTGCTTCAGCTTGCCATGCTTATGCTCAATAATTTATTTTTCTCACTTCAGAGTTGTCTGACTAAACTAATAATACTTCAAACCACAATATATTAAAACAAAAAAACAGAAAACTATTACTACCATTACTTTGATTGTTATTGATGTACTGGACTCAGTTGTAACATGATAATTTCATTTAGTTGTTGTTGGAGTTATGGTCTTTTGGCTCAGTTTGTCACAAAAATGTTCCCTTTTTCTCTTGTCCTTGTACACAACAGGAAACTTGACTTTGGCAGCGGAGAATTTCATGCTGTCTGCGGACCAGACCATTGTGAATGGCCACATCAGAATCTTCAGTGATGCTCTTATGCTGATGTTTGGTTTGTACTACTGTATGAACATATCTTACCCAGCAGAGACCAACAAAAAAAATATTTCGCTGGGTCTCCGATGCGGGGCTTCAAACACGTGACGACCCAAGACAGGCAAACTGACCGGGCCGGACTTATTTCATGAACCGCTCCACACATTCATGTCACTTTAGTTGCCATCAGCTCCACTTTCACTCATTTCCTCACTCTTTTCCAACTTTCACTCTTCCTCCCTTAAGCTTTAGCTGCAGCTCAAACTATACACACTCACAACAGGAGGCGGTGTATCCTACCTGCAGCCCTCTTTTATATACAGTCTATGGTGCAGCAACAGACGGCAGAGTGACAGGCTGCTGTCGTATTTATTTCTGCCATGTGATATCGAGGAAATTATAGCCAATAATTGTGATCGCGATCCCGATTGAAGATCGTTTTATCGCCCAGTCTATCTTTTTTTTTTTTTTTGTTATTCAACAAAAATCATACTATTTTGAAAATGATTTTGGCGGCCCATCTGCAATACCCACGGCCCACAGTTTGGGAATCACAGGATCAGTAGATTGATAGATAAACAAAAAAAAAACAATTAACCCAGTAAAAACAACTGCTCTAAAAACTCTTGCCTTGCTGAGGTGATCTGTTGTACCGCCTGCAGTAGCACCTCAGCATTGGAGTTCCAGGAGCAGCCACAGGCTCTCCTGGTTCTTCACGGAGCAGAAACCAGAGCTCTCCCAGCACACTTCACAGGTGTTGGTCATAATAGGAAGCTTTGATGTATCTATATCAGTTGGTCACAATGTGGCACATTCACACACCTTTCAATTCATGATCCATCTTTGGGCGATTTTTTTTTAATTTGGATAAATTGGGGGAATGCTTGGAGATTTGTGGAGGTGCAGGTGCTTTACTTTCAGCCTACATGCAGAGCAGGAAAGCCTGACCGCCTGCTGCGCACGAGCACTCATGCCAGGAGACAAGCCACTCAGACCAGACAGGAGCCAGCACTGCCACGAGGACGCCCCACTAGGAGGTGGAGTTGGGTCGCGGAGAGCAGCAGCATGGAGCTGCCGAGATGACAGGCCGCCCTCCCCAGCTGAAGACGGACTTGTGTTGTGGATATTTCTCAGTGGGCTGAAGTTAGTTTACTGTGTGGCTCAGCTGTTAGATAACGTTACTAATCTCTGAGGCTGAAGGGACATGACTGAAGATGGTGCTGGCTCCCGCCCGGTATGGGTGACTTGTCTCCTGCCGTGAGTGCTTGCAGTCTGCAGGCAGTCGGCAGGCAGATCTCCGGTCAGGCTTTTCTGCTGTGCGTGTAGGCTGAAAGTAAAGCACCTGCACTTCCACAAGTCTATAAGCATTTCCTGAATTTATCCAAATATCACAATAACAAAATGATAAAATCAAAAACTTCATTTTAATGTTCTGTTTATATTGTAAGAGAAAAACAACCTTGATTTCTCTTTTTCTGATTTGGTTATGAAATGGAATAATGAAAGATCGACCCATACATGGAGTAGGACAATGTATTATTGACCTTTTGAATTTTTTATAATAAAATTTCAAGAATTTATGTAAAATTAAGTCATTTGATATCACAAGGGAGAGTTATGACTAAAAAAATGAGTGAAAAATGCCCCCTACTGGATGAAAATGGTCCGAACTGTACCTGAGAGTTCATTTTTGTTTTTCAGATTTTCAGAATGGCTATGTCTCTTATTTATCCTTGATTCATGCTCATGTCAAGTTACAGAAACAGGTGCTTGTTAATGTTTATTTTATTTATGAAATAATGACAAAACAAAACTCAAATACCCAAGAAACCTTTGAGTAGCAGATCCTCCTGACCAAAGTTACGTTCTTCTCCCTGAAATAGTATTTGCAATACTAATACTAATACTAATAATACTAATACTAATACTAATACTAATAATAATAATAATAATAATAATAATGGCTTGGATTTATATAGCGCTTTTCAAGGCACCCAAAGCGCTTTACAAAAACCATCATTCATTCATACACATTCTCACCGGTGGTGGTAAGCTACGTTTGTAGCCACAGCTGGCCTGGGGCAGACTGACGGAAGCGTGGCTGCCATTTCGTGCCAAACGGCCCCTCCGACCACCACCAAACATTGATACACATTCATACACAATACACGTACACAATACTCACATCTTTTCATTACATCACTGTTCCACAGTGCCCTGTATGTCCAAACACTCTTTCACAAGCAAGCTCTGTCTACACTGTTGTGTAACCTTATTGCAAATGTATGAAAACATTAAATTAAAGTACAGTCCACAGTTACTAAAGTTGTTGTTTCATTTGACAGGTGCCTCTTCAAGATAAATCCAGACAAGGGATCAAAAGTGGAGCAGAACGCCACCAAAAAACAACTTGCAGTCAGTCCAAAGGTTCTCACACTGATAACCAAAATTGCAGACTACGAGTGGAGGGAATAAGAAGTGCTCACAAGTTATGGATACTTTGTCCAAGTTATAGACTGTTCCATTCACTGTATCCAGTGAGGTTTCATGTAAGCTATTTGTTATGTAGCTTTGTTATCAATGTTGTGGATGTATAATTACTTGACCAACTTATGGATGCATTGGATAGAGTATAGATTCATTTCCAGTGAGGTTTGACAAAGTTTGTAATCAATGTTGTGGATGTATGGTTACTTGACCAGGTCATGGGTGCCTTGGATAGAGTATGGATTCATTTCCAGTGAGGTTTAATGTAGGTTTGTAATCCATGTTGTGGATGTATGGTGACTTGACCAAGTTATGGATGCTTTGAATGTTGCTGTAAGTTGGTAACTCAACTTTTTTTTTTTCTTTCATTTCCAATTCAGTTGAATTTTAATAGCTAGCTTTTGTTTGTTTGTTTTTTTTGTTTCAGAACCAGACAGTCATTTTAATTTAATTGATTTTTGAATTTTGCTGTAATAATGGTTACCCGTTAAGTTAAATAAAAATATTAAGAACGGGAAATTGTAGCTGTTCTTGTTCAGCTTAGTCTCATTCAAATACAACAATTCATTTAAGCCCCTTTTCCCACTGGCCAAAAACCAGTTTAAACCATTTAAAATTAAAATATTTCTGGTGTAATTATATAAGTGAGCATAGTTTTTTAAGTTGAAAGTCCATTAAATATTCAGAAAATCTATGCAAAAGAACACAAAAAACTAAATTTACAATAAACAGTAAATTGTTGCAATTGTAAACCCAATATCTAGTTTTACAACAGTTTTTTGACATGTTTTGAAAGATGAATCACATTATTTTGTGTGTCGTATACTGTTATATTACATCAAATATAAATTATTATACAACCTCTTCACATAAAATAATGTCATTAAAACCAACTAATAACAGCACATTTCTGTAAATTTAAGCATTATTATTCATATTACAATGTTTATTTACCATCTTTATAGGTAATTTCATTGTTTTAAAACGTAAAATGTTTGTAATTAAACGTTAAAAACAACGTAAAATAACTAAATATACATTTGATGTGATCTAAAATTAACAGTAAATTGTTGCAATTGTAAACCCAATATCTAGATTTTCAACAGTTTTTTGACATGTTTTGAAAGATGAATCACATTATTTTGTGTGTTGTATACTGTTATATTACATCAAATATAAATTATTATACAACCTCTTTACATAAAATAATGTCATTAAACCAACTAATAACAGCACATTTCTGTAAATTTAAGCATTATTATTCATATTACAATGTTTATTTACCATATTTATAGGTAAGTTTTAAAATGTGAAAATGTTTCTAATTAAACGTTAAAAACAACCTGAAAGTAAGGCAAAATCTTGTTAAAATTACAACTATAAAATGTATTTTAATTATGGAAAATAACCGTATTTTTATGAGAGTCATTTTCTGTCATTTCGCGGTATTTTTTTGGTGCCCCTGCTGCCGGAAAATTACAGTTTTTTTAAGATTTTTTTTTTTTACAGTGATACAACTAAACACAGACAAAACAGATAGTTGTTTTTGGCCCCAAAGAACAAAGATCAATAGTCAGTGCTCACCTTGACCCCATGAAACTAAAACCTACAAATCAAGCCAGAAATCTTGGTGTAGTTCTGGACTCAGACCTAAATTTCAATAGTCACATTAAGACAATTACTAAATCAGCCTACTACCACCTTAAAAACATAGCAAGAATAAAAGAATTTCTGTCTAAACAAGATACAGAAAAAACTTGTTCATGCTTTCATTTTCAGCAGGCTGGACTATTGTAACGGTGTCTTCACAGGCCTGAGTAAAAAATCAATCAGACAACTGCAGCTTGTCCAGAACGCTGCTGCCAGAGTCCTCACCAACACCAAGAGAGTGGAGCACATCACACCAGTGCTTAAGTCACTGCACTGGCTTCCTGTGTGTCAAAGGATAGACTTTAAAATCTTGTTACTTGTCTATAAAGCACTAAATGGTCTCGGGCCTAAATACATCTCTGATTTACTTGTACGTTATGAAGCACCCAGACCCCTCAGATCATCTGGAACAGGTTTACTCAGTGTTCCCAGGATCAAAACCAAACAAGGTGAAGCAGCCTTTAGTTTCTATGCTCCCCGCCTGTGGAACAAACTTCCAGAATATTTGAGGTAGGCTTAAACTGTCAGCTCATTTAAATCAGAGCTTAAAACATTACTATTTACTGCAGCTTACCAGTGAGCTAGATATGTAACTTATTGTTAGGATAATCTGTAGCTATTGTTTTTATATGTCTGCTGTTGCTTTTGCTTTATGTTTGCTTTTTAAATGCATTTTCTGCACTGTTTTTAACGATTTATTGTCTTGCTTTTAGCTTTTGTTTTTAATTATCTCTTTAATGTTTTATTTTAATGTATTTCTCTTGTAAAGCACATTGAATTGCCTTGTGCATGAATGGTGCTACATAAATAAAATTGCCTTGCCTTGCCTTGTCTATAAACACAACACATACACATCCCATAGCTAATCATATATTACAAAGGACTGATGAACTTGATCAACTGGGCCCAGTATTTCAAAGTGATCTGATAGGATTATCCTGGCCGGATTGGATTAAATCCTTACCTGATCTGAAAACTGGGTATTTCAACACAGATCAAGAAGATCCTGATCCTGAGGATCAGGATTCAGCTCTGGTAATCCAATCCTCCCTTTAATCCAGATAAAGGCTGCATTTGGGTGTTTCAAAAGTTAAGGCAGAGGTCTGGATCAATTTGATACCAAATTTCAGGATTATTTGGATCCCACCTCAGAGGTGGATTTGACAAAGCCTCAGCTCCACTTCTCCTAGATATTGATACTCAAGATGTTCATTACACTTCATCTAAATTAGTGTTTTAGTTGTAAGTAATTTCAAGCATAGAAAAATATTGTTTGGCCATACTTCCTGAAACTGCTGTAAATAAGAGTAACAAATACAGACCTATGTCTCAACGTCTAGTTTCACCTAACATTATAACCTGTTTGTACCAAAACATCCAACATATGTTTGTGGTCAGACAAAGGCAAGGAAATGCAGTGCAAAGCAAATTTATTTGTATAGCACATTTTCTTTACATAGAGTGCAAGAAACAACACAGGGATTAACATAATAAGCACATGGCAATTCAAACAGAGTACTAAAAAAGCAATTAGAAACAAATGATATGTGTGCACTTGCATTTTTCCAATGTTACATCACATCTTTGAGGGGGGAAAAGTAATAGCTCAACTATGTCCTGAAAAAACATTGCTGTATGTCTCAATTTAAATCACATTTAAGCACTTTAAATGTATATTTTCATGCTTCTGATTTAATGAAGATAAATTTTACTTAATTCAGATAAGCTTGAAAATGCACCTTTAAAATCCCTGGGAAGTGCTTGACTGTGATTTTATAACATGCAGCAATGTATTTCAGGAAGTGGTTGTGTGTACAAACTGATTATTTTACTTCATCAAATCAGATGCTATAGTGCTATATGTTTAGTGGGAGCCTTCTACAAAAGGGGATACATTTCCAGGGATTTCCAGCATTCGACCTGTTGTCTTCATTAGCAGTGGCATTGCTGAGTGGTCCATGGGTGTGAGTGTATTCTGAAAGTAGAAGTAGAGTGTGTATGAGCATATCTTTATCATTGTCAGGAATCCACAATAGCCAGAGAAATTGTTTAAGTAACGTTACAGAAAAGCATATCACCAGCATTACTGTAGCATACCCAAACTCAATCCTCTGACACTTCTGAATGAACCGCATCATTCATACTAGTACTGTGTATTTTTCCTATACTGAAGCAGTCTGCTCTGCACACAAAAATAAAAAGGTCTGCTGTGTTGGCAATAACATAACGTTAAACTCGGAACAGGTTGGTGTTTAAAGAGTTGATATATGATGTACTTCTGATTAATTACCTTTTAAATTAAACCGTAGACCGCAAAATACATCAACAAAGCCAGCTACCTCGCTAGCCTGCTAGCTACTTAACATGCAAGTCAATGGAGCCACGTTAGCTACCGTTAGCATGACCTCGGCTCAATTAGAGATCGGTACGCCCACGTTTTAAGTAGGTGACAATTCAAATAGCTGGCTCACATGAGATGGTGAGTGGCCTTCATATGGTCTTAAAAACGCTACACATTAGACAACGGTATACTTACATTTTGATGTGAAAGCTGTGCTACCAACTGCTCCAAGTAGTCCGCCATGTTTCAGATCTGGGGGCGGAGTTGTGACATTTGGCAATCCCTATCCAGTCAGATTGGGATCAAAGTGATCCACCCTGCCAATGCTTTGAAATACCCAGATAAAGTCAGCAGGATCACCTTGATCCCTGACTGAGAGAAGAAGGATTTCATTATCCGGATTATTCTGATCCGGATTACAAGTTTTGAAATACTGGGCCCTGGAGATAAACACTCTTCAATTCACTGAACACCAGCCACATGACATTGAAATGGACATTGATCCAGAAAACAATTTTTTCCTGAATGTCAACAACTGCCACTACTATACAGACGAACAGTTCAACAACACAGTTAATACTGAAAACAAACTTTCAATAGGCCTAACCCACTTTAAAAGCAGAAGCTTATATGCCAATTTCCATAACAGTAAAGATTATTTAAGTCACTTCACACAGCCATTCAATATAATCGCAATATCTGAAACTTTATTATTATTATTTGATTTGTATGAACAGAAAAAACAAAAACGGTGGTGGTGTAGCCTTGTTTGTTGATATGAGCTGCAATTATAAGGTGGTGGAAAAACTGTCAACAGTGGTGGATAATGTTCTTGAATGTGTCACAATAGAAATATGTGTGGAAATAAAGAAAAATCTCATTGTGAGTTGCATATACAGAACACCAGGATCTGATATTGATATATTTAAAAACTGGATAGAGGAACACTTTTCTAAAACAAGCCATGAAGTTATGTTTGTCTGTGGTGACTTCAGTATTGACTTACTAAATCCCAATAATAACATAAAGACAGAACAATTCATCAACACGCTGTACAGCATTGGTCTACATCTCAAAAACCACCAAACCAAGCCGGATAACTTCTCATAGTGCTACATTAATTGACAGTATATTTACAAATAACATTGATAATGATACAGTAAGTGGGCTATTAATAAATTACATCAGCGACCACCTTCCGGTTTTTACGGTATACAAGAGCAACTACACAAAAAAACAGCAGGACAATAAACCACATTACAGACGGGTTAGGACGGAAGAGGCCATGATTGCTTTAAAAAATGATCTATTAGCTCAGAACTGGGAATTGGTGCATAATGAAGTGGATACTGACAAAGCTTATGATGAATTTTTAAGAATATTAAAACAATTATATGATAAAAATTGTCCAATTAAACATTACTACAGAAAAAAGTATAAAGATAAGCAGTGGATCACAAGGGTTTAGAGAATGCCTGCAATAAAAAAAATACACTATACAGAGAATTTGTTAAACATAGAACCAAAGAAACAGAAGATAAGTGTAAGATACACAAAAACAAGTTAACCTATCATCATGAGAATCTGTAAGAGGGAATATTATAATACACTACTAGATAAGAATAAGAAGGATATCAAGGGAATATGGAATATATTAAATTGCATAATTAGAAATGGCTCAAAACAATCTAAATATCCAAGTTACTTTATTGATAATGATAGGGAGATCAATAACATGGATGAGGTGGTCAATAACTTAAATCACTTTTTTTGTAAATGTAGGACCCAATTTAGCTAAAAAAAAATTCCAGCTCCAGTGACCAACAATAGTGATACTCTTATAGCAATAAACCCAAGTTCAATGTATCTCAATTTCCTAACAGCATGAAAATAGCCAAAGTTATCCCATTGTACAAAACTGGAGATAAGCACATCTTCACAAACTACAGGCCTGTTTCTCTTCTCCCACAATTTTCAAAAATTCTAGAAAAACTCTTCAATAACAGATTAGACAGTTTCATAGATAAACACAAATTACTCTCGGACAGTCAGTATGGATTCAGGTCAAACCAGTCAACTTCTCTAGCTCTAACAGAAATTGAAGAAATCACAAACACCATTGACAATAAGAAATATGCAGTTGGAATGTTCATTGATTTAAAGAAAGCATTTGACACCATAAATCATGAAATACTAATCAATAAATTGGAATGTTATGGGATTAGGGGTGTGGCATCAGAGTGGGTCAGAAACTATTTAAAAAACAGAAAACAGTTTGTGAAGATGGGAGAATCTCAGTCATCGTGTTTGGACATTGTGTGTGGTGTACCTCAGGGATCAGTGCTAGGACCAAAACTATTCATCATGTACATAAATGACATATGCAGGACATCACAGCTATTGAAATTTATATTGTTTGCTGATGACACAAATATACTGGGGTGTGGTGAAAATTTGCAGAAACTTTTGGACTTAATCACATCAGAACTAGGCAAAATAAAAAATATGGTTAGACATAAACAAGCTTTCACTAAACTTGAAAACAAAAATAATGGTATTTGGAAACAGAAGAATCAACAATCAAGCATGGGTGCATATAGAGGGTGTTAGTATAGAAAGGGTACACGAAATCAAATTCCTTGGGGTGATTATAGATGATAAAATTTGCTGGAAACCTCACATCAAACATATCCACACTAAACTGTCTAGAAGCATCTCGGTCCTAGGCAAGGCAAAGCACTTTCTGAACCACAGGTCACTCCACATTCTGTACTGCTCACTAGTGTTACCGTATTTGAATTATTGCACAGAGGTTTGGGGAAACTCATACATAAGTTCTTTACAGCCACTACTCAGTCTACAAAAACGAGCTACTGGAATAATTCACAATGTCGGATTTCGGGATCACACCAATTCATTATTCATAAAATCTAAAATAGTTAAACTTTATGACATGGTGCAGTATCAAACAGCAGTATTCGTGTATAAAGCAAGAAATAACCTTCTACCACATAACATACAGGAAATATTTCAGGAAAGAGAGGGTGGGTATAATTTAAGGGGGGGATTAAACTTCAAAACTCCAAAAATTCACACATCAAAGAAAAGACCGTCTTTATCAACTGCTGGGGTGAGACTATGGAACAGTCTGAATGTGGAGTTACAACAATGTCCAAACATGAATCACTTTAAAAACAGGTATAAACACATGGTTTTCACTAAATACAGGGAGGAGGGATTACAACAGTCATAATTGATATGTTATATGTAAGTGAGTGTATCTATATGTTGTTGTCCTTGTTATTGTTGTTGTCATATGTCATTGTCATTATTGTAGTCGTTATTGTTGTTGTTGTTTGTTGTTGTTGCTTGTTGTTTTTGTTATTATTGTTACTATTATCATTACTATTGTTGTTGTTATTACAGTATTATTATTATTGATATGAGTATTGAGTGAACAAGGGGTAGGACCAGATAAGTGTATACTTCTTCCTACTCCTTTTAAACATGTAAATGAGATGTGAATATATTGTTTTCTTCTCTTTCTAACTGTTTTAATCAATTGCTTATTTTTATTTTATTTTTATTTTTTACATGTTCAAATAAATCAAATCAAATCAAATCAAAATCATATCAAACTGGTTTTATAAAATCCCGCTTATCATCAGACAACATTCGTAGACTCTTACATATTATTGACGCTGCCTCTGGTAGCCAAACCCCATGTGCTGTACTCTCCCTTGATGCGGAGAAAGCTTTTGATCGCCTGGAATGGCATTACTTACGGTCAGTCCTGCAACACATGGGGTTTGGAGCTCAGTTTATTAGAATGGTTCAAACTTTATGTTGCTCTCCCACGGCAATGGTGATGACCGGTAACTTACGTTCTTCCTTATTCCCAATTTATAGAAGCTCTAGACAAGGCTGTGTTTTGTCTCCTTTGTTATTTGCACTTTCTCTAGAACCCCTGGCCCAGGCAGTGTGTCAGTCTACTAATACTCCCATTACAGCACATAACACTGATCACTATATTTCTCTTCATGCAGATGATATATTGTTTTTTTAGGAGATGCAGCACAGTCAACTTCACATATTTTGTCTATTTTTGATGACTTTGGTAATATATCTGGATAAAAAATCAATTGGGCCAAATCCGCTCTTCTCCCCTTGAATGATGCCATGAGAAAGGCTGCGCCTCCTACAAAAATACCAGTGGTCCATACTTTTAAATATCTTGGTTTAAATATATTTCCTTCTCTTCATCTCACCATCACAAATAATTATAATTCAGACCTTAAGCAGGTGGAGTCAGATCTTGTGCGTTGGTTACTTATCTCCAATTCATTTCAAGCTCGGGTCTTGATTATTAAGATGAATATATTACCTCATATCAACTTTTGTAGTTCCATGCTTCCTATATCACCCCCTGCTGGTTACTGGAAAAAATTACAAAAATTAATTACAAAATATGTTTGGAAAGGGAAAAGCCCACACCTCAAAATGTATATTTTACAGAGACAAAAAAGTTATGGTGGCCTAGACATTCCTAATTTTAAATTTTATTTCTGGTCCTTCACACTTAGGGCTCTTCATACCTGGCTTAACCCAGAGGCCCAGGTGTCTTGGAGATCAATAGAAGAGGAGTTAGTAAGTCCTCACAGGCTTCAAGATGTGATTTATTCTAACATCCCTCATAAGACTTGTAAATCTAAATTCGGACATATAATTTCTCATCTTATTGTTACATGGAGAATTGTAGAATCACACACTAATAAAAACCTAAAGATTCATCCTCATATACCATTATTTCATAATTTTTCTCTCAGTATAGAAAATCGTCCTATTTCTTTCTGTCAATGGAGTGTTAAAGGCATTCACACTCTTTCTGACATTTTGGAGGATAATAGGCTTCAGGCATTCCAGGATCTCCAATCTCATTATAACCTACCTGGCAACTCTTTCTTTTTTTATTTGCAACTTAGTAGTGCTTTACATGTATACGGGGTCCTCTGGGGAGAGGAGTTTAAGACCCATCCCATCCACAAAATTTGTACAGTCAAAGCCACTAAGGGCATGGTTTCTAGTTTTTACTCACTTATTAATAAGGCCGCAGAAAAATCCCTGCAAGTTCATCATTGCTGGCATCAAGATCTTTCTATTTCATCCGGTGCAATCAATTGGAATATGGTCTGGTCTAATATCTCTCTGTCTTCCAGGAACCCCAATCATCAAATGATTCATTATAATTATGCACACATATTATATTGC